TTATTTGAGTCTCGCTTGTTGTTGTGGCCGCAAATGCAGTAAAATTAATTAAAGCACGATTGCCTGCAGGCGAAAATAGTCGCAGCATCAAACGGCTGTGGTCAGTCAGACTTTCGGGCAGTCGGTCAGTCAGCCAGTTTGCGCTACAGTTGTCAGTTTGATTTTAGCTGGCAGTCATTTGTTATTACTCATACTATTGTGACAGACTGTGGCATTGCGATGTATGTTTGGCTTTGCGGCAGACTCCCATTTGCATATCTCGCAAATACTTACATATATACATACACATACACGTTTCGTGTTTCTCGTCTGTGGCATTGCTTGTGGCATATCCGAATCAGCTTTGCTGCTCGGTGCACTATTTGTTCAGTGCGGCTTGTTGCATTCGTTGCATGCAATCAACACTTAACGGCTGATTGATACTGTATTTACTCTCTGGTGAAAACGGCGTTCAAATTAATTTGATCTTGTCGTGCTTGTTTTATTCATAATTGTAGTCGGCAGTTGTACAAATATGCAACAGTGCAAGGGAACTGCGAAAATGTGTGTGAAAAATCAGCTCATTCTGCACTTATGCATTATATATATATATATATACGTATGAACATTAGGGTGGTTAAAGTTTTGTTGCAAAATTTTTTTTTTGTTTTTTCAGAAAATGGTGTATATTAGAATTGCCACGAAGTTTGTAACACCCAGCTGTAAACGGCGCAGACCCTACATTAAATAAATATTCAGCGTGACGAACTGAGTCATGTATATTTTGTCAAGCTTATCTCTCAGTTTTTGAGTTATCGATCTGAAATTCTGCATACGTTCTTTGCTTCTCAAGAAACTGCTATTTTGTTGGAAACGCAGATATCGGACTACTATAGAATATAGCTGCCATACCAACTGACCGATGCTTGTACGGAAAACTTTTTTATTTGACACATTATTAATACGAAATGTGGCATGGCTTATTGTCCAAGGCAACGCCCCAGAAGCTCCAGTTTAAGTTTTAGTCTTTAATTGATGAATTTTGTAAGATTCAAAAATTTTCAACAGGTTGGTAAAGTTTCGTTAGATAAATACTAAAAAATTAAATTTAAAGCAATTTTTATTTTCATTTGAATTCCAAATTCTACTTAAACACCAAAATGGCCAGTAAACTCGAGTTTATGGCACAAGGTGATCATCCTTCTAATTATTTTTATTTTTGACTACTTTGATATTATATAATTTTATTTTGTATTATTATTTAAACAAATCTCTATCGCAATTTTTTGTTGGTATAAATTTTGAGTTTATTTTCATGACTTTTGCGATTTCTTTACAACAAATATAATTCCTGCTCCTTCACCTCTGCCATTTCGATTTTGTTCAACACACAATGCAATTGTTGTTGGCAATTTGTTTTTGGTCGACGTCATCGTCACCGCCGTGAGACATGAGCCGTCATCTACTCCAGCCACCAATGGGCCGTCGCCAGCCGCGTCACCACATCAATTTAATAAGCAACATTCATCATTTCCATTTCTGCGCTTGACATTCAAAATGCGGTGCGACGGTGTCGTGTCGATGTCGTGTCTGTGGCATGGCGTTTCTATGCGCGCTGTTTGTTGGTGGCCCGCTGAGTAGGTGTTGCATTGTTGGCGATTATCTAAAGTTTTATTTTTGCAGTTTGCTTTTTGTCGTGTCCGAAACCAGAGGAACTGGGCTAGCACGAATGTTATATTGAATTTGCGGCACTTAATCAAGGGGCACTCGCATAAATATTGTTGATATATATGTTTGTATGTGTTGTTGTATGCGTGTGTGTGTATGTGTGTGGGTACTCGTACATAAATGAATTGATAATTTAGTTGCATTGTTAAACCTATCGTTGTTGCTAGTAAAGTGTTCTTTGTGTGGCAGTGTTGTTTGGGGCATTTGCACAGTTGTGGGTGTGTTTGCAACGCTGAAATATGCTGTCGTGTTAATCTAGTGCAAAATGGCTATTTAATGCCAGTCGACTCGTGTCGCTGCATTTTGATGGCTTGTCTTGTCCTACGATCACTTTTGGTATATTTAATGTTGTTTTTGTTTTTTGCTTTTTGCTTTTTTTCTCAACATGCATTCCAATGTGAAATAAAAATATTCTCATGTTCACTCGCACGCCTAAGTGCAACTATTTTTACACCTGTGCAAATATGCGATTTTGTTACATTAAATGCGTGTGTGGATGCACTCAGTTGCACATACATACATATGTATTTATAGATGTAGATGCATACCAATGTGTGCAAATAGACTTAAAACATTGTAATGCATTTTTGCATTTGTTACACATGTTGTTAAATTTTCAAGCAAATGTTTATATGAGTTTTAGTTTTGGTTCCACCGTGTTTTGTTTAGTATTTGCTGAAATTCCTGTTACTATTTGGCAAACAAATACACAGCAACTATCAAAAGTTAAAAATACAAATATTTTTGAAACATATGAACAATTAGATATTTTCGATAACAGCACAAGAATTCTGGTAATTGAAACTAAACTCTAAAAAAACACATAAAATTAACGTTAAAAGTCAAATTTCTAAGGCTGCTAACACAGTGGAGCGAAGAGCAAAGATTTAGTGCCAATCATTATTAAAACTCAATCATATAAATGAATATAATGTATATATATCAAATATTCAAATATAAAATCCAGTAAAAACAAATCCTTTATTTTTCAATAGATGGTTTTAATTAACTCAAATTAAAATCAATCTCATTAACTTGTTATTAAACAGTGTTTAAATCATTTAAATAAGGTTCAATACAAAAATATTGTCGAAGCAAAAAAACCTTATGGATCTAATTTTATTCGCAGATGATGCAAAGTGGATCAGTTACGGCAACGTCAAGCAATAACGGTTGTGGAAGAGTCACTAAGAGCCGACGCAAAACGACTAAACCAAGATTGACGGTTTTGTTATGTGTTGGGTGGGTTTGGAAGGAAATTATTTACTTTAAGCTGTTGCCCTAAAGCTAAACTCCTAGTTCAAAGCCAGCTTTGGCTAATAGGCAATGTTCCTGGCGACTGTTTGCTTAAACCAAGTAACTTTAGCTGTTTTGCTGCCAGATGCTAATTGTTGCAGACTGTGGTGCTACTTATAGCATCAATTAGTTATTTGAGTCATTCCAGATAAAGACATTAAAAATACTAGATAATGGTTTCACCTGAACTTCGATCGTTTTTCTCAAAGTATTTTGAAGTGACTCGAAATGACGCCATATTTGCACGCACATATTTTCTATGTAAATTCGAGAATAACGCCTTTGCCTTCTAAGTGAGCGTCAAGTTCGCCCGATTAGGAGCTGATTGCTGATTGGCATTGAAGAATGAGCATTATTAAATATTATAAATTTGCACGAGTGAGTGTGTGTGTGTATGTGTGTGTATGAATTATTTCATAACTGGGTGTGTTGAATGACGGGCCATTTATGGCTTCGAACCGACTAATGGCCAAATGTAGCAGATTTACTGCTTAACAAATCAAATCGAAAATCATAATTTAATGACAAATCTAATTCATTTAAAAATTACAATTGCAATTCTGCGCTTGCAGCGCCTGGGAGGCAGCGACGTGCGAACGGACGAAGTGATAGATAGCAAGATAGACAACCGGCTGGACAGATAGGCAGAAATCAGCAAAGCTACAAGTAGCTATGTCTCGAATAATATATATAATATGTGTGTATGTAATCAGAAGTGTGTGTGTGGCTGTGTGTCAATAAATACATCAAGCAAAAATGCAAACAATGCGCATGCTTTCAGCCAACAAATCAATAAGCGGCGACGACGGACGGGACTTGCATGCAAATGCACGATGCGCAACTTACTTAGCTGCTATGCGGTGCACATATATACTAACATATGTATGTGTGTCTGTCTGTCTGTCTGCATATGTATATCTCCTCTTACACTATTGGCATTAGAGGAGCAAAACGCGGCGGCACGTCTTGCAAGGCACGTCCGAGGTCGGTTTCTCCGCTTGTAGGCAGGTTAAGTGGAAAGGCCTCCACCAATCGTAGTTGTCGGGTGCACTGAAGTGCAAAAAATCTGCACTTAGCTACTCGCTAACCTCACATCTCGACTTTATGTATATGTGCGCAACGCTGAAATGCGATCAGCCGTGCCGGCGTTGCATTAGCTAAATGTTTCGCTGCACATGTTGATTCTCCCCTTGCACGCCTCTGCTGTGGCTTTTACATCTTCATTTAGCTGATTGGATTATCGTGTCAATACGGGGCGTGTTGGCCTTTGGGCAATTGGCAATTTCCTCCACATGTAATAATATGTGCTGCTCTTCACTGCGCTGCTGCACTTATTGCGCATTTGGTGTGTTTAGCCAAGACCCTCAGGCGGTACAATAGGTTAGCGTTGCGTGTGATTCACCACGGTGACGGCGATCATCCCAGTTTGGGGATTTACAGCTACTTTTGTCAAGTGCTTGCGCTTTTCTTTGAAGTACCCAGTTGATGGCAGTGTGGCATTTTAATAGCGTTGACTAAGTGCAAATCTGAGCGGGAGAGAAAATAGCAGCAGGAATGAATTTATTGAGCGCAACGGCAGTAAACAAATATATCTTGTTGCGTTCAACCTTGAATTCGTGGAGGGTGTTGAACGCATTCGCGGGCCGAAACGGCGACTGCCTGCCTGCAGCTTTGCGTCATTTGAATGTCATAACAAATTTCGTGTTTCAACCGCCCTTGGACATGAGTTCCGCTGGTTATTCCATAGGTGTGAGTGTGTGTTGTCTGTGTATGTGTCATTTATAAATGATTTTATAATGTTTTTATTTTTATGTATGAAATACTTTCGGTTTATTACTGATGGTGGGATCGTATTTTGCATTTTATTGCAAACATTTGCGAGAATTTCTAATGTCACAACACCATCTGTCTAACAAAATGTGTCCAAAAGACAATTAAACAAAACCGCATGCAAATGTCGAAAAAATATTTATTTTTATACTTTTCTTTGCTTACAGTTCAACTTCGTTGGCAGAATTTTGGGCCCACGCGGCATGACAGCTAAGCAATTAGAACAAGAGACTGGTTGTAAAATAATGGTTCGAGGCAAAGGCTCAATGAGAGATAAAAAGAAGGTAAGGAAATTAATAAATACTTTTTATATTGACCTGAAAGCTTGTATTTATCTACAAGCTTTTCTAAAGCTTTTTTCAAAAAAAAAAAAATTTAATTAAATAAAAGAAAATAAAATAAAATAAATAATAATTATACTAAAATTGTAAAATGGAAACACAAATTTAAGAGTATCTATTTTTTTAAACAAAGTTACTAAAAAAATAATATTAATAGTATTCCTAAAATAGAAACACAAATATAAAAGTATATTTTTTTCTAAACAAAGCTGCAAGCTTTCCAAAAGTTCAATGATCCTCCAAAAATTGTATGCCATCCCTATAATGGCTTTCCGAAAACTCTGCAAAAAAACCGTCTACGGCTGTAATAGCTAGCACCTACCTTCGAAAAACGCTTTCCGCGAAGGAATATTTTCAGGTTTCTAAAGAAGTCGCTGTAACTGTAGTAGTCGCTGGGAGCCAAATCTGGTGAATACGGTGAATGCTGTAGCAATTCGTACTTTAATTCGTTGAATTTTGTCATGGTTAAGACACCTTTGTGAGCAGGTGCATTCTTCATTCTTCTGCAGGTCTTGATGAGAAATTATTTTTTTTGTCACGAACTTTTTCATCCAGTTGATTGTTTTCGCGTGGATTGTCTTCAAGCCTAAAACGTTTAAAGTCACCAGGCAAAAATTCAACGGTGAGTTTTAAAGGTGAGGACCCCTTACACTTCTAACAATTGTTCATAAATTTCCTTTGCATTTAAACCTTTCAAAACAAAGGATCACTGCGCGTTATTAAATTTTTTTCATATATTGTAAAAAAAAATACTGTCATGTCAACTTCAAATGGCTTGCAAAGAATTAATTGACAGAATGATTTGTAACTTTGCGTGTGTTCTCACGACAGATGTAACAACTAGGGGGGAAAAAATTGGAGCTAGTAGTGCTGTTTCTTGGTGAGACCCACCAACTTTTCCACCAACCTCTATATTTTTTCTAAAAAAGCAAGTTAAAAATTTACCTATATTATAAGTTTTCTTGCTGTTTCTATTTCACAGTAAAAACAAAATGACTTAGAAAACAAAGCGACAGACATCTTGACATAGAAGTTGCAGCGTTAAGTTTTTCAGCTTAAAGATTTAAACCGGCTATAAAATGCTTGAACTTCTATTTTTGAAAGTGGAATAAATACTGAATGAAGGTAGTTCCTGGAACGTTGTCAGTTTCTAATGCAATTACTTTATATGACATTATAATGATTTTTAAAGCAAATTTGTATGATTCACAAAGTTTTATAAATTTTTTGCAAAAAAAAAAAATCTATAAAAAGTAAATATCTATAGTTTTCCTCTAACTTATATACATTTATGTACCATTCCTTGGGGAATTTGTTATGTTATATGGAATATCATATGTTATTTCGTTGCTGTGATTTAATTTCTCAAGGGTGAAACAAAACGCTCTTGAATCCTCTAAACAACGGTTTTTCCAAAATGAAAAAAAAACCTCTCACTCATTTTATTCATTCTTTGTTCCCAGCCATAAATAACTGTAAAAATTATAGAGATTATGAGAGAAAATCAAAGATTATTATGTAATCTGTAAGCCTATTTCCTCGTTTGAAAAGAAATCATTTGAGCAAATGCCAGAAACAAAGTCTGATTTTTCATCATTATGCATTCGATTGAGAATTGCGTTATTGCATTGGTTCTTCTGTAGTTTACACAGTTTTGCAGCTTTGTATAAATCTCATGTATTTGCAATCTATAAAAGATTTATACATACATTTGACTAATAATTAAAAAGATGAGAAATGAAATAAGTCTTGTATCTTGCGGTACGGCACCAAGTTTTTGCATTTCTCGTATTTTAGATTTTAAATTATTCGGTAATTCCTTTAATAGGAATTGAAGCGTATGGAAATTTGGCAGAAGTCGCATAAAATGAAAACATTGTATGAAATTTCCTGTTATGCTGTTGTGCTAGAATTTTATTTTATAGATTATTAATTGAAATTTAAAATACTTTTAAATATTGTTTTCGATCAAAAGCTCGCTAAAACATTTTAAATAAAAAAAAAAAAAAAAAATAAGTGAATAGAAAATGAGCTATGAAACTTTTATGCATCTCTTAAACACTACTTTACTCATATAATACATTTTTTCCATTTATTATTATTTTATTTTTTAAAAATTATAAAAATACTTTTTTTTATTAATTATGTAATCATGCTAATTTTGAAAAACAAACATCAGACATCACAAGAGCGAATAAAATCGATTACGCCCTTCTTTTTTTGGCCACCTAACACCACATAAGTTCCAAAATGTTGTTTTACACACTTTTTTTAAAGTATTTTTTGAGAGAAATTTATTAGTTTGCTTTTCCCATAGTACCTTGTCGTTTTCCTTAATATTGTCGTATCTGCTGGCACATTGTTGTTCACCGCTATTAACAAAGACAAATATTTAAAGATTTTTGACAGCAGGTGACAGATTTATATCTAATTAAAAATGAAAAAGGACCACAAAAACAAAGAAGTGAAAAATAAAAATTTTGTCGATCGCTTGAAGTAGGTGTGGACGTGGGTGGACTTCTCGCAGGCCCTGACATACTTGCTAACACATATGTAAACATTTAAAACTGTTTTGACACACACATACATACATATATGTATATATAAAAACTTATTGCATAATTATAATTATTATGCTCTCATCAAAAGAGACTGGTAAACCAATGGGAAATTGTAAAAAATTGGAATTACGTCAAACGCACCGGAAAATTCAAGACGTGCCTCTTTTTAAATGTTTGAATTATGATTGCAATTTATTATTCTGCGAAATTGTAGAAAAACATTTTTAAATGATATTTTATTAATTAATGAAAGTCAAAACGTTCATCACTGTTGCCATATTTCGAATATTTGACATATATATAGTTTCTCGGATATTACTGCTTTTTAAGCCATAACTTTGTTAATAACTCTAGAAGGTTTCCATATAACCACTTCAACCTAAACCAACTTCTTTTCGGATGAAACCGTAGAAAACTAAGAAAAAAATGTATTACAACAAAATCCACTGACCCAAAATAAATTTCCGCATTAATTGCATGGAAATTCTCTAGTTGACACTTATCGCTCGCGAACAACCAGCGATTTGTGGTAATAACCAAACAACAAATGCTAGTTTTAAAAGCAGCAAGTGGTTGAAACAGAAAACAACACTGTGTAAAAATTATACGGAATTAAAGCTAAAATCGCTTGTAGAAATGATCCGGATCGACAATTAGAATAATTGAAATTGCTTTCAAGTTGCAATACATTCACACTTTTTTACTACCACACTCTCACTTTTCGCACTTGAAAGCCGTCTTGATATTAATTTTTTCATTCAAGTCGAGTGACAAGTTGACGATCAAGTTTGAACAGCTGATTACATAGTTTTGCAAACAAATGACATGCATTTGTCGGGAATAGGAATATTTCGTTATATTCATGGATTGCTATCAAAATATAAGTATACCAATTTTATTTTTTATTATTAATTTCGTGCAAAATTTTCAAATTTTTTTTTGGTAGGGGTTCCATGACAACGGCATCTTGAAACTATTATTGACTATCAGGTTGCTTGCAGCCTATGTAACGGCTGTCACTTTATACAAATTTTGACAAGTAGCTCGTGTGATCAACTTGAAAGCAAGATGTTGATCGTGTAACTGCAGCGTAACGCTTGAAGAAATTGAAAGAATGTTGCCATATTAGATATAATAAAGTTAGTAGCTATCTAGGCTTTGAAGAACACACCAAGTGTGACAACCTAAAAATGTCAAATATAAAATTAAAGAAAATAAGATCGAACGATAGGAATCGATTTAAAATTGTAGTATGTACTTATCCAAATATAAAAATATAAATCCTAAACAGAGTATATTAAGTTTGCCACGATGTTTGTAACATCCAATGTCGGAGAGCCTATAAACCTACAATACACATCATAGTATATAAATGATTAACGTGACGGGCTTAACCGATTTAGACATGTACGTCTGTCTGTCCGTCCCTCTGTATATATACGAACTAGTCCCTCAGCTTTTGAGATATCGATCTGACATTATGCACACGTCCATTTCTCACAAAGACGGAATATCCGATATCGGATCACCGTAACATATAGCTGCCATATAAACTAAACAATCGAAATAAGGTCATTGTATGGAAAGCCTTTTCATTTGACGAGATACATATCTTCAAGAAATTCGGCATGATTATTGTCTAAGGCAATGATGCGATCTCCAAATAAATCGTTCAGATCGGATGACTATAGCATATAGCTGCCATACACACTGACCGATCAAAGTTCTTGTAAGGAATCTTTAGTATTTGTGAAGAGTATATTTTTCTTGTAACGAGAGCTCACGTGATCGTAAGAATTTATGTTTTCGAAAATATGTCTAGATTAATATCGCTGCATACTTGCTGCATGCACTGTAGTCAAATATATAGTTTTGTGTATTCCTACCATTGCTGTGTCGGCAGCGTCAACCGGCTGGCCACTTGCGCTGCTGCTGACGGTGCAACAATCAAAGTTGTAAACTGTTGCGTTCAGCTGTCAAATTAGAACTGTCAAGTTGGCAGCAAATGAAATGCCACTGACAGGATAGACAGCAACTACTACAACTACTGGAAGGAGAGCAAATAGTGCAGCGAAAAGCTTATCGAGGAAGATTTTTAAACAGTTTTGGTTGTTGTTGCTTGAATTGCATTGCTAACTCAACTCATTGCGGCCTATTTGTCTATCAGTGGCAACATTTAACGCGCCCTAAGTGCGGATTGTGCATTTTTGTGATTTTGTGCGCCAGCCAGTTGGCAACGTTGCTGATTTGCGTCTGCTAAACAACAAAAACATGCTTTACTACAACAACAACCATACAATAACGACGATTGCACTTGCTGCGACTGTAGCTGAGCGGTGTGTTGCAGGCATTGTTGCTGCAAAATGGCAAAAATTCTTTACCGCAAAACGAAACTAATAAAAATATTTACGAAACATAAATGAAATATTTAACAACAATAGTTTTTAATGGTGACTTTTTATTAGCTACGCACAACAAAGTTGCGGCGATGAGCCACTACCGGTGGCTCACTGCGTATGCATGTGCATATGTATATATGATATATATATATGTGTATGTGTGCGTGTTTATTTAAGCATCTTGGGCTCAAAATTGTGTTCTCGCGCTGACAGTGCCGTTTAATGGGCGCTGATCGTTCTTTTGGCAGCGATCGTCAAGTGAAGTGTGTGTGTATACTACTATATATATATATAACTGTGGGGGCGGTTGTAAGGTGAAGGGTGAGGGTGTGGGCGGGGAAGCGCGACATAGTTGGGTCACTCGATTTGGATAAACACTTGGCAACTTTTACAGAAAATTTATTTAGCATATTCATTTGCTTGATTTTTAGGCAATAATTATTTGCTATTTAAATTCGTTTGGCAGCCGAAAAGCGCGATGCTCCTCGCGTATGCGATGTGGTTTTTCAAAGTCTTGCATATCTATTTTAAGTGCATGAAGAGTCGTGTGTTTGACTCTTCGTTATACTATCGTTGACTCATGCACTTTGGACACAGTGGAGCTTTTTCAAGTGGCAACTAAAGAAAGCGGCTATATGTAGACCTAATAAGAAGTGTGTGTGTGTGCGTGTGGGTGGTATATCCCATAAAAGGTGCTGCTTAAAAAAATAAATAATTTAACTGTTTATGTTTCCTATGTTTTTACAATCGTTTTTGCCTTTTGTGGCTGTTTTCTTCTAGTAGTGGCAAACCTAAAGAGTTTACCGTGAATTCACAGTTTTTTATTTCGTATATTTCGTTCTCTGCTCGTTGATTCATCTCTAAGCTGACTAAACCAGCCACCCACTTATGTGTTTCGAGTTATTAGAAAAATAATAAAATTAATAAAGCAAAATGAGAAATCTTGTACGTTTCGTTTTGTGTTTTTGGATATTTAAAATTTCAAATTGGCAACGGAAATGCGCTGTCGTTTTATTATTATTATTTCGTTTTATTTGATTGAATCAATTACTTATTATGGCATTTCTAATTTCGTGGGTATCTTTCCTGAATTTTTTTTTTATTACCAAACATAATCATTTGTGGTTTAATTATGAGTGAAATCATTTTTAAAACTGTTTTTTGCTAAAAATTTCACAAGTTTTTATTTAATTATAAACATATAAAAGTATAAATATGCACATGTAGTTTTTTTGTTTTTTGTTTTACAGTTTTGCTTTTTAGATTCACCCCGTATAAGAAGCTTAATTGTGAGACCCGCAAACGTCGTTTTGTTCATTGTTTCAGAAATTATCCGCTTTGATCACTGATTACTCTGGCAATTATCAGCTTATTACTGCAAATAAACAAATGCACACACTCACACATACATACATACATAAATGATTACTTTAATCGCATATTCCTGTATTTTGACGATTTGTTGTGACTATTTTGAGTCGATGATGCGGGCGCATTTATGTTTTTTCTTTATAGCGAAATCGTTAGCCAATTTGTTGCGCTTGCAAATCCCATCTAGCACGCATCTGATAGAACACAGTCAGCTGAAATACACCTTTACTCATTTTATTATCTATGATCGCTGGATGGAATTAATCGATTACAAAGATTATATTATTATCATTAGTTTTTTTTTTTTGATTTTCTATCACAACTTTGTATGTTCTTAACTTTTATAGATGATGTTCGTTTATGCTTTGCGCTCTTTCCGTTGCTCTGTCATTTCATATGTACTTCACTGCGTTTTTTGATATTTTCAGAATTATACATTCAAATCTTAATTGTTCCTGAGTACTATATGCACTATACGAGCTCCAACCCACCTCTTCCTTACCTCTCCAAGTTTTCAAATTTTCAATATTTTTAGACCTTGAATTGGGTATATTAAGTTTGCGACGAAATTTGTAACACCCAGAGGGAAACGTCGGAGATCCTACTACGTATTTACAAACTGAGCAGTAAAAATCAAGTCCTTGTATTGAAATATTTTTTATTTGACAAATTATCGTCACGAAATTTTTCATGGATAATTTTCCTAGATAATGTCAGAAGCTCGAAACAAATTGTTGAGATTGGAGCTCATTACAAACTATAGCTGCCATACCAACTAACTGTTCAAAATCAAGTTCTTGTAGTTAAAACTTTTTTATTGGGCAATGAATCTTCACGAAATATTGCATGAATTGTTATCCAAGGCAACACGGAAATTCCCGAATAAAATATTCAGATCAGACAACTATAGCATTTATCTGCTATACAAGCTGATTTTTTTCCTTATTAAGTAATTTTAATTCGACTTAAAGGTAAGTAATATCAAACCACGTGGCTAGAAAGAACTAACAAAATGTTTTCCGTTGACGTTTTTAGATTCAATTATACCATATATGTATACCTCGTAGTGGATTATGGCTTCGGTGCAGCCGAAGTTTACGTTTTTTCTTGTTTACATTTTTTTCTTCCTAAATTGAGGATTTCTAAGACCTTTGATTCACAACACTCTATTCCTAGCCAATCACACCAGCTTGCCACACCCTGTATGCAACTCGTTGTCGCTTTTGTTTTCATAGTTGACACTTTTCTTAACACAGTTGCCAATAACTTTCACTGCTGCTTTGCGATAAACAGAAAGCGACGCGCTTAATCGACTTTAATGCGTGCGCACACACACGCGCACAACTAATCGTACATACATATTTATATATGTGCGTATGGCTGCACATGTGGTTATGTACAACTTGGTAAATGCCACATTTATGGTCTAAAGTGCATGCTTAAGTGCAAAAATGAAATAAATGGTTGCTTAGCAAGCATGTTGTAATCAAATCGAACAGGTTGTCGTTTGGGCTACCAACGGGCTATTAGTTTTTACATAAGCTATGAAAAGTAGAGTATGCGTTATTTATAATTATAATATGTTCGAATGCGAATTTTAATAAAGATTCGAAGTTAAATTAAAAGTTGATTTCGTACAAATACTTTCTCGTAGGGTTTTGTATTGTTTGTTTTGTACTAACGGCATTATATTGGGTAGCGAAAGCTTTGAGGTATTGGAAAACCTTTTATAAGGCCTCAGAAATACGCATAAAGGGGAAATGTCCTAAAAAAGGCGTGCTAGTGAGTCTGAATTAATTAAAAAATGCTTATTAGAAAGTTGTCTATTTTGTCTCAGCGCCAGTTATTCTCTCTGAAAAACTGGAAAATCAAAATATTTGCCCACAATTTCGTCCTAGTAAACATTTTTTGTAAAGTTAAACGCTAAACGCAAAGTTTTCATTCTTAACGCCCATAGAAAGGTCTTAGTCACTAAAAATATTTGCATACAAATCAATTGGGGAACCTCTAGATTCATTTACTTTGGCTATATCATATTGACGTATAAATATTGATGAAGATTCAACATTTTTGGTTTCATTTACAATTTCCGGTCACATGTACGTATATGATCAACACGATTAAGTCAGACTAAAATAGTTCGACTCCCCATTGATCGGAATTCTATCGTACCTTTAACTTTCTCCCAAGGGCCAACAACAAATATATTTTTCAAACACAATATAAAATACCAACAAAGAAAAAAAATTAAATTACGAATAAAAAATCTAAAACAACATAAAAATACTGAAATTAGAACATACAAATTTGAATACTTAATTTCAAAACTAATTTCTAACGATTTACTATTTATTGCAGGAGGACGCAAATCGCGGCAAACCCAACTGGGAACACTTGTCCGACGATCTGCACGTGTTGATCACGGTGGAGGACACAGAAAATCGTGCCAAAGTCAAATTAGCTCAGGCCGTTGCCGAAGTGCAAAAGCTTCTAGTACCGGTAAGTACGAGTATTAGGCAAGCATGCGAAACATTACACTCGGCACTCGGCTTTAAAAGCTGAAGTGCTCGTGTGTATTTGTAAGCGACGACAGTTAAATGTCGCTGTAATTTACTGCCGACATTCTACCCTACTATACACCCTACACACACAAGCGTGGCTACAAATTAAATAATAATAAATATTAAAAAAACTAAACGAAATAATGTCTTAATAATTTAAGCGAAGGAATTACAAAATCCGACTACTACAACAACAATGCATATAGTACATATATGCGTGTAGCAGTTTGTTTTTGTAATTTGCGCTTTTGCGTGCGCGTGCTCTTATTTGCCATAATCTGATTAATCAAAATAATTATATTTGTTTACAAACAAATCATGTTTACATACAGACATATTTACAAAATGCATAACAAACCCTCTTAAAAAAAACTTCAAATAAACCGAACATTTCGGAATTATAATTTTTTTTCTACTGAAAATATCTAATAATTTTCTCTTGTGTATTAAAAAAAAACAATTTCACGACTACATTAATGTTTGTACTAACAGCAAGCCGAAGGCGAAGATGAACTTAAAAAACGTCAACTCATGGAATTAGCTATAATTAATGGCACTTATAGGGATACGTCGGCGAAAAATGCCATACCAGGTATGTTACACTGACTCTCTCTCCTCTTTATTAATCGAGAATTTTATTTTTTAAATAATTTTGTTTGTTAAAAAGAACATCAATTTTGTTATAACAACAACTACTGGTACTGATGCCCAAAATACTTAATTGTGAAACATAACCGTTAAATAAATGATTACCATTGCTATCACCCACTTACCTAAAACACTACAAATATTAATACAAATTAGTTAAGATTTAGATTAGAATATTGTATATTTTATGCTAATTACTTTTTTATTATTGTTATAAGTAAATAGCACTATGTATTGTTTACGCTAACGCGTAAAGCCTTAGCCTAAGCACGTAGTGTTGCGAAGCATGAGTCAGCGATGGTAACCGATAAAGCACATATGAGGCGTCTTGGAGACACTGACAGACAATATTTCTCATCAATTGTTTCTATTGGTAAAAAAAAAATAGTTCTTCGTGAAATTTGTTGAAGATACATTTTTTATAATGAAAAAACAAATGATCTACATTTATAGAATTTAATGTAATTTAATAATCGGGTGTAATTTTTAAAAATTTTGAATTCCCTTGCTTTCCTAGCCGATCTTCTGGAGGACCTCCGAAAAAATGTATTTGTCGATGAAGAATATTATTTAGCTTAAAATTGTTACAAATCCAAAAACCAAAATAATTTATTATTACTATAGATGAATGCAGTTAATGATCGAAGGAAAAGTCAAAAAAAAAAGCAGTTTTTTTTTGTGAAAAAGGTTACACTTCAGAGTGGGCTAAAAAACGGAATTTTTTTCTCTTAAGTCTTTCTCTTTGTATCATTACCTGCCAAATACATATATCTAAGGAGGTCCTGCAATAATTTGAAGTCGAACCCAACCACTTCGGAGAAATTTCACTCAACGAATCTGAACACATCGTTTCGAAAAAATACGTTTAAAGTTTTAGGAGCCGATTAGACCAAGTTAAAATCTTACAAATACGCTTATATCACCAAAACTATTTGGCGAATTAATTTCAAATTATTGAAGAATATTTTCAAATATATTTACATATATTACAAAAAAAAAAACATTTTTCTTTTAATTCAAAAGTGGACCCCTTAATCTATTTTACATCTTACTTTTCAGTCCGCTATGTGCTTAGCCTTAGGTCAGGTTTTGAAATTTAAACGCAGGTGTTAATTTAAATTCATATAAGTGATTTTCCAAACAGTTTTTAGCTTTAAGCTATAGGTTAATCTAAATTCTCCATATCATTTTCTATTTAATGATTTTCTACCTATTCAACGCTGACTTTTCTTTTTTTCACTCTCTCTCTTTTGTTACATAGCCTGCGAGGAGGAATGGCGCCGTGTGATCGCTGCATCGGCTGAGAGTCGCCTATTGGCGCCAGCATTGCCAGCTTTAGGACCACAGATACGTGCACCACAGGCCACCACTCTGGGCGCTCCCTTGATACTTTCACAACGCATGACCGTGCCGACCACAGCGGCGAGCATACTGTCCGGCCAAGCTGCGCCCGCCGCCTTCGAGAATCCCGCACACGGCATGATTTTCGCCCCGTACGGCGATTACGCGAATTATGCTGCACTCGCTGCCGGCAATCCCTTGCTGACGGAATACACAGATCATAGCGGTGGGTTGTTTGCTAGATAAACATTTTACACAACTATATTCTCTATAACTTATACTATTCGAATAATGAATTAATTAATTAATTACTTCATTCATTGATGATTAATCGAATTGCAATTATTTTTATTATGTTGTTGTTTTTTTTTTTTGTTATCGTTATGTATTATTTAGTTTTTTTTTTATGATTTTACAAGCAGATTTTTGTGCTTTTTGTTTCGTTCGAAAGCAAAAACACAAAAGTGTTGTATTGGTCGTAGAACAAAAAACCACAAAAACAAGAAAAACATATATAATACTTATATATAAATATTAACAAAATACATTTTAGAGTTAATACAAAACTTTCGTGGTTAAGTTGCAGTAGTGTTTCGATAAGTAATCAAACAACTTTGTTGGTTAATAATAATTATTAATAGTGAAAATAAATTCTATGCTTTCTTTGTGGAATTGCGCGCAATATAATATCACATCCGTAAATTTACCAAATACATACCACTACCATATACATACATACATACATATACCTAAAAGCATATAAACACTAGCAACAACAACAACTTACAGCACATATGTATCTGCAAAAGCTACTTAATTAACTTAAATAAGAAACATTAATTAACTCGTAGTGTAAGCAGTTAGCGTTTAGGTGTAATTGTTTTTTTGTTTTTTGTTGCTTTAAGTCACTCGAATTGGAGATTAGCTCTGCGGATAAGCCAGAACCAGTGGGCAATGTAACATGCAAATACAGTTGAAAACGTTGAACAACAGTTAGGATCTGATCTGATTGGAGAGAGATTTACAGAGAATTTATTTAGAAAGTGAGGTTAGAAGTCTTATATTTTGATGAATTACGCGTTAAATCATGTATTGTACATAACTGTTTATTTCGATACAAAAATTCTGTATTCAAACAGCTCTAGTGTACTCAAATTCCGTTTAAAAATTTTTATATCCTCAAAATTTTTTGTTAAATCCTATTTCTCGCCTGCATTTTATATACATTAAGTGGCGTTATGCGCACATTTACAATGTTGCATGTTTTGTTTTCATTGAATATTTATTATTTTTTGTTGTATTTTCATTTACAGTTTTGTTCTTACTCAGTTTTTGTAAATATGTTTATTTTATTATGAATACTTAATTACGACAGTTCGTTCATATGTACATATATGTATGTGCCATTCGGAAGAAACTAAGTTAACTAAGCAACTCTGTAGTGACATTATAAATATAGAAACCCGCTTCTTTTACCTTTTAGCACATATTTACCATTATTTTAGAATGTTTCAAGAAATATTTCACAGTTGACTAATTGTAAATATAACTGTTAACTGCAAGTTTGAGGTTAGCGTACATTTATATCTATGGATTTAGATATTTTCTTAGCCACGCAGAGTTGCAATTCAATACAGAGTCTTAGAATTTCAATACAGTGTTCTTATCTATATATTTTTTTTTTATTGGCCTTTTGTCTTCGCAAATACTTTTCGTTCTAACCCCTCCGCCACGGAAGCGAATTTTTAACAGCAAACTTAAACGAAATTAACCAACGCAATAACAACAAAAAATACATAGCCGAAAATAACCAAAATTCATGCAAATCATCTGCTTTTCTTCTTCTACTAAACCCAAAATAAATAAAAAATATAAAGCTTTCCGACTTACGCCAAATCTATGCATAACTTAAACAACAACAAAAATGCTAATCCATATCAAAGTCTTTTTGCTAATTTTTACTAAAGCTAATTTTATTTGTTAAATCATGTGTATGAATTTGCATTTTTTTTTTTTATCAATTACCATAATAATTTGTTTTTGTATATTTCCTTCTTTTTTTCTACAAAAAATATATGACCAATGCGACCTTACATACTTATGTAACCACTTTGATGTTCGTCAACCTTTGAACATTATCGAACACACAAACAAATAAACGAACGAACATTTTGTTGTTGGCAAAATGCAGTTGGTCGATATTTGCATGCCGGCTCCGTCTTTTGAACGTTTTACCAACCAAGCCCTTTCTAAAGTAATTTATTGTACTCCATTTCTTCACCACTTGAGCCAGCAAGCAGCGCCAAGATTTGTTGCAACAATCAAAATAGGTTTAGTGAATTTGTAAATTTGAGTGTTGTTGCAAATAGCGGCAAACAACAAACGTAAATATAAAGAAAAATATATATAAATGAAGAATGAAAATATTATAGAAAGAAACAAGCAGACAGTAGATTTTGATTACATACTTACGTTTGTAACTGTGCTAGCGTTGTTATTTGTTAAGTAAGAGGAAACACATTCAATTCGGAAGTTAATATGTATAAGTTAATACATATAAAATACACACATACTTATATATAAATATATAAAGTAATAAATTTACACTCTATGCAAAGTGATAAGCAAGTTTATTAAAGAAGTTAGCAGAGTTTTAGGCGCATGCGCACAGTGAATACAACAAACAACGCAAATACTCAAAGTAAAAGAACAAAAAATTACAAAAGAAAAAAAAATAGTAAATTAAAGCAATATAACCGTTAGTAACTAGTTTTTGGTATCGTATATGCAATTAGCCCGGTAAAAACTTACAACAAACAATTTTTCGAATTTCATCAGAGCAAATGCTAATAAGTGATTTTTAATTAGCCGCAAGTGAGCAATATTATTATAAATAGAATATAAGTTATGTTTAAAATTAGTTTAGACTATAAATTTTGTTAGCAGCTTTTGTTACTTAGTTGTTTTGAAATTATTTTCTAGTGCTTTGGGATTCTGTTAAACATCTTCTTATCAAGCAAATATATAATGAGTATATTCTAGTTACGAGAAATCATATATTTTAAGCTCTTATTTGTATAACTTTCACCTAAATTACTTGCATATATGTAATTATCTAGGCGTTTTAAATAGGGTTTCACTTTTAGAATTTGTCTCCTTGGTGTTTAACTCTTATAAATATTATTTTATAGTATGAAAAATATATATATATTCTAAACTAACAGAACGATTCATTATTTTATTTTCTTACCAATTATTTATTTTCTGTTTAGCATTTTCTATTATATATTTGTTAGTTTATATCATATTTTATTAAGTGTTATATAACAATTTATTTATATTTTATTTGAGCGTCTCTTCGTTGCCATTTGTATGAAATTCAATTGAAAAACGAAAGTTCTTTGGCAGTGCAGCCCACTCTTTTCAAATTATTTACATATCCATTTAACATCTATATTTTTATTTTTTAACACTAATTTTCATATTCAAATTTATTTATAAATAATCAGATCTACAGCTATTTTATTTCGAACCAGTTCTTGACCGAATTTATGTATTTGTTTCTTTCTTGTAGCTCTACGTTATTTACGCGATTATACCTTCTCCCCGTCGCATTTTTCCACATAGTGCCATTGTCTTGAATCTTTTATGAAGTAAAAAAAAGGCAGTTAGATAAGACATGTTTATCTCATTATATTGGAATTCGAAATGCTAGTATTTACTAGACCACATATATGATTATATTCATAAGAGCTTTCACATTTATTAGTTAAATATTGAGCTTTTGAGCTTACAATATGGCGTCGAATCATAATGGTGCTAATATTATTGATGATCTAAAGAGATTCGACAAGCATTCATTTAAACTTTTTGTTGAGCTTTCATAAATGTATGTAGTTCTTCCACAAACGAAATTATTACCGTCTAGTATATATTTAAGTAACTATATTTAAACAATTTGTATATAAATAATTATACATACACAACATTTTATTTGTTATGCCTACAAAAGCCATAAACTAGTTTAATTCAACAGAAAAAAACTGTATAAATCGTTTACAGCTCACCGATATCCGTCCAAATAATTAAGTTGCCTAGTCAAAGTTAATTACCACACAAAACAATATAAACAACGGCATATAGGTTGAAATAAATAAAAGTACATTTAACAAGTGTTATGGCTTGTTAAAGTTAAAATTTATAAGCTTTCACTTCACAATAGTATTATCATGGTTGAGAGCCAAAGCTTTATCGAGCTTTTCGTCGCAATTACGGTGAGATTCTCTTCAATTTCGAGCATTCGAGCTGTCGGCTTGTGACGCTCGTTGAATGTATGCATATTATTTTAGAGTACTGTAAACACATTTTAAGTTTACGTTCATGATTTTTTTATATTTGTTTTAGTCTTTTTCTGTTCTTCTTTTTTGTTTTTATTAAATTTTTTTCGTTTTTTTTTGAAGCATGCGTACTTTGGGTCTATGCTCAGTTTAGTAGGTGGTAAAGTTATTGCTAAAGTATATAAGCTAAGTACTCATTCGTAGCTTTTAAGCGTGTTTAATTAGAAATCACTTATTGGTTAAATTTGATAGCTTAACAGTAAAAGCGAATTCTTTTTTAATGAAAATTCAATTGTCACTTAAACACATACAACAAACAAACAAAGCATATACGATTCATTCCAAAGAATATTAAAATCTAAATATACGTATGCTATATATACACATAGGCATATGTATATATACAACACACATTATAAAATGGCTGCCGAAGCCTTTTGTTGAATAGTTTTTTTTTTTGTAAATTATTAAATAAATTCTTCGATTCACAGAAATTGCTAAAAGCAAGATTGAGCTTCCAGACATGGGAGCCAAACCAAGTGTATTCTTTTTTATTTTAACAAACTCGAAAGCCTTAGAACCAACAAAGAAAGCATAAAGCGCCCAGTTAAAATGCAAATGTAATTTTTTTACAAATGAAAATTGCAGCTTTTCGCTTTCACTCATTGCAATATGTAGTTTTGTATGAAAAATGGTAGTATTTACATTGTTTCCTTGTCTGCAAAGCGATTTTTTTTATCTATAGAATTTATCTTGTTATTGAATATTTATGTAGTGCACAAATGATTGTATATTTTTTACGTTTATCAGAATTTATTTTCTATCTAAATATCTAGAGTATACTCCTATGTACATATGTACATACATATGTACAATATGTATAGTAATGACGTTATGTGAAAAATTATTATGAATTTATATAAACTATAATATAATGCCCTTACTTATTAATCTTACTATGTATATATCGAATATATTCTAGTAGGCGCTCTTAAACAGCAGAGACGTTTGGCTAACAGAGATCATCCATATCAGAGGGCTGCGGCTGCGGTCGGCGTCACAGCCAAGCCAGGTTTCATTGAGATACAGTAAATAACGGTTAAGAACTTAAGCATTAGCGAGAAAAGTAAACTAAAGTTAAAAAAGCTAAAAGGAATGAAATTACAACAACAAAAGTTAATGTTAAAGTTTATCACATATTTGCGGCGCATGCATACATACAACAACACTACATAAATAACGGTTTATGTACACTCAAATGTATGCAGCCCAGCGGCTTCATTAATATCTTTCGTTTATTTCATTATTATTATTTTTTTTTTTTTGATAAGAAATTTAAGTAATCTCGTTTTTATACATAAATATTGTTTTTTCTTTAAGTAAAAAGTTGCAAATAAATTTTATATAATGTTTTTAAGAGCGAAATTTACAAGTAATTACTTTTACAAGTAAGTTAAAATTTTGAAGAAATTGCATTTTTCAAACATTTTGTTGAAAATAAAATAATAATATTTTAAATTAAAAAAATTAAAAAAAATAATAAAAACCTTTAAATAAAAAATATATATTTAAATTTGCTAATTGCCTGCGCGAAGCTGTGACCAGAACGACTGCGTATAGCCCACGAAATGTTAAGTAATTGGGCTGAATATTGAAAATAAAACAAACACACACACTCACTCAAAAAAAAAAAAATCAAACGTACGACTCTGACTTCTGCAAAAAGCGCCAAGCTGTGTGAAATGAATTATTGCGTTTAACTCAAACTGAATGATTTGCCCAGTTTTACAGCTCAACAGGTTAGTTTGTGTTCTACGATTTCCACCCTTTCTTATTTGTTCGCAAAATAATACACATACAAAATTCTCGTTTTTTTTCAATGCAACGCTGAGGAGTTAAAGCGAAAGCGCTTGTCTGCTTTCAAAATAAATGAGATGTAATTAACGAAATAACTATTATTTGTTGCAATTAAATTACTTAAATCGTTGCCGATAAAACCTAATTTAATTTATTTAATTAATGTGCAAATTTTTATAAAAAATTATAAATTAATTTTAATTTTGTATTTGCTGCAGTTTTTAGTACAATTATTTTAACATAAAATCACAGGTAGATTGCAGATATGTTTTTGAATATAAATAAAATTTTATGAATAATTGAGTTTTTTTTTTTGCTTTTCACACCTTAAATGTAAAGCTAGTTTAAATTACAAATCTCACAAAAACAAAAAAAAAAAAACAAAAACGGATAAGCTCTCGCATTGCCTCCTCTAGCGCGCTCTTCTCGTTGTTTGTATGCAACAACAATTTTTTTTATTTCGACTAAAAAAAGTTGTTGCTGCACATATTTCTTCAAAGTTGTGTTTTTGTTGTACGTATATGAAACTTTTCGAAAAGTCTAGTATTTTATATGAGAATAATAGGGAGCGAAGCAACCAAAATGCGTAAAAATGGTTAAATTGTTTGTATGTTGACTTGTGCCTTTGTGACGTGTCGAGAGATTTTCGCCATACATATGTAGATTTAAACGTAAGGTAAGCGTTACATTTAGAGAGCATAATAAAAAAAGTATATATTACAAAGCATTATAAATAGAAATTATACAGGGACGTCGACAAGTGTCGGATACATACACAAATACATATATACGACATGTGTATGCGTTTGTATTGTGCGGGGTCCATTATTAGGCACAGACGTGTGGCTCATTCTTTAGTTTGTACCTTAAACTTGTTTTCATTTTATATACATATATGTATATACTATATATATATATATATATTTTATACATGTTTTTTAGTGCATTCTAGTATGTTGTACGAGCAAATTTTCTTAGCTTTAAGCGATTTTGTATTTATAGTTGTATAAAAAAGTATTTCAATTCAAATTGCCCGCAATAGAGATATAGAGATACCGACAAACATACATACAAAGATGTATATGCAATATATTTGTAAAACAAACTTGGAAGCCCAGCATTTTTAAGCACAAATGCAAAAGTGTGTTAAAAATTCAAAAGAAAAATCCTTAATTATTTTTAAATTTTGTTATCAAACTATACAAACTACAGTTATTTTTTAGTTTATGCTTTATAACATAAAATTGTTTATTTTTTCTACAAGTTTTATATTATGTAACATAGCAAAAGCTACAACTCATTTTAAATGTGAATTAAGTCTATACCTTTATAAATTATATATATTTTTATCGCAAATTTTGTACACAATTTCCAAATGCATAAAACAAACAAATAAAAATCAATAATTTAGTTGAATTGCAAAACCAAACGATAAGTTTTTTCACTCAGAAACCAAAGAAAGAATTTCTAAAACATTTCAATATTAATAAAATATTTGCATTAAAAACTTTTTTTTACTAAAAACACACATACCAAAAATAATTTTAAATGTACAATAACAAGAAAAAAATTAAAAATCATAGAATTTCAACAATCATACATCTTAATTAACAACTAATTGTCATATTATATACTTAATTGAACAATAATGAATATCTAGTATGTAGTCTATGTACTAAACTAGTCTGTAACCTACTCATATTAACATTGTAACCACTTTCGCAAAACTACTCGAGAGGCCTACCACTAAATTATATTATCTACTTACTAAAATGTTGACCAACTCCAGTGCACCGTTAACCGTCTCGCACGTTCTCATAATAAAAATTACGAAAATTCTACAAAGTTCTGCCGCCCACGAATTGTCACGAAGTTGTGTGAGTCTCTTAAAAGCTGCTTTCGGAAATGATGTCTACGGACCACGAACATTTTTGGCTCCTCGTACATCGTTGGACTTTGCACTGCAATTGGGCGCGCCTAGGCTGCACCTGCACACACACACACACACAAAGACAAATGATCGCAAGCTGTTCGCTGCGTGGTAAAGAAAAAGCAATTGTTGCATTCACCTTCACTCCTTGCTCTCAGTTTACTTATTAACCACTCGTATGACTCGCATCAGAGCAAAATATGAGTTCTCAGTTACTCCATAGACTCTATGTCGTTAACATTTAGCGCTAAGCACGTATGTATCTCTCTATGTACATGTACAAATAATGCCTTAACATATACATACATACAAACCTTTGTATATGCATATATGATATGAATAATTTAACGAATTATTAACTTCTCTGCCAAATCTATGTGGTTGCGGTATTTATACGAATAATCCTATACATATATACATAATTATATATAAATATAAATAGAAAATAATATTTGTATTAAATATCTAAATACTTTAACATTGACTAATACATGCGATAATAATTCGCTTTAGAATTAATCTGAACTACATATGTATTTTGTTAATTTGTAAGCTTGACTATGAGTCCCTGTTTTAATCCGCAACTCCTCGTACTACATACGAAGAATACTCTTCATTTATGCATAATTTATTGCCTCTTTGCTTATCTGAAATAACTATTTGATTTGAAATGCTTTAGATAAGTCATTAAAGGAATAAAATACACCTCTGCGCGCACACATTTAACGTCACATTTACCCTCATACATCTAAACATTCCCATATACATACATACATTTGCACTTTCTGGCACCAAATCGATGAAAACAAGTGCCGAAATTAACGCTAACCTCCTCTTTATTATATCACACATCGCTAGCAATTGACATACATACACACATGCGTACGGAACATATACATATACGATGTACATGTATATGGGATAGTATAAAAATTGAAATCAAAATTTGTATGTACTCTACAGTATCTATTTACGAGTAAAAATTGTAAAACATATAGAAAATTTAGTTTTATAAGTCAACTGTTACATTCATTTAATTTTACTTGTATTTGCTATTTTATCCGCCAAAAATTAAAAAAAAAAATAAATAAAATTAATAACAATTAAAATTTAAAATTTTTCTATAAAGTTTTATACAATTCTTCTAATTTACTTATTTTTTAAATTTTTAAATAATTTTTTAAACTTTTTTTTATAATTTTTCTTGATAATTTATAATTTTTTTGAATTTCAATCATAAATTTTGTTTATACATAATTAAACTTTCTTAATTTCGAAATTATTAATTTTTTTGTTTTTAAATCTATATTATTTATTCTTCAAAAAATTAAGAGATATTAAAACCAAGTTAGTTAAAATTAAATTTTAAAAAGTTTTCTATAAAGTTTTATATAATTTTTTTAATTTAATTATTATTTTTTAACGTTATTTATTTTTCAATCTTTAATATTTTGATTTATCCTTAAATAATTTTTTTCTTGTATATAATTTTTATTTTTTATTTTTTTAAATTAGTTTTTTTAGGTCTTATCCATAAATTTTTTTTATACTTTCTAATTGATGTGAAAACTACTCATTTTTTACATTTAATACTTTCGTATCGATAATGTGCTTTTTTTTTTAAATATTATCTTAAGTTTTAAAATAATTTATCACTTAAATTTCTTTTAATTTAATTAAAAATGGATAATCCTATGCATATACATATTTATGTACATACAAATTCGTATAAATTAACTTTTTTGGTGAATCAAATCCAATTGTTTGGCATAATTTCGCAAGCTCTCTAAATAACTACATATTTATGTACAAATTACATTATATTTCCAATATTAATTTATTGCGTAAATATTTTGTTTATATATTTTTCCCGAATTGAAATTGTACATTATATACAATAGTTTGTTTTCAAAATTTTTTGTTTACATTTCTATGAATTTAATAATTAAAACTAAAATAAACAAATTTTTTTGTAAATAAACTAAATTTGAAAAAATAAAATTTAGTAAATGAATGAAATTCGAAAAAAAGTAAATTTTGGTTAACTAATTAGATTCGAAGTACAAATTCGAAAGTGAAAAATTAAAAATAAGTATGTACAAGTATTTGTTTAATGTAGTGGTTTTTAAATGTTAAAAACGTACATTAATCAACAAATTTAGTCATTGTAAGCAACATTTTTACTTCAAGACAATTTATTTTTTATTTTTAGTATTTTTATTTTCATTTGTAAATTAATTGCATAATTGAGAACTATTTATTGTGTGTATGTATGTATGTCTTGCACCTTCTACGGTTACATGTCAAGCAACACCTATTGTTCTAAATAGAAACAAATAATTAACTTAATCAACTCAAATCTGCGCTAACCAACATCAATGAATGTTCACCGTACGACTATGAAAATGTTACTCATACGCAGCGGTCGCTAGAAAGTGGGACTGTGCGTTCATTAGTACTTAATATATGAATTAAAACGAAACTCTCATAACTTTTTATTTATATAAATATACATACATATATATATGTATAGAGTATACTATAAATATTATTGCTAAACCAAAAACCAAAAACAAAAAAAAAAGAGACTAACCAAAGGCCAAGTTAACTAAAACAATTTAAACTTTCATGTTTTGTAAATTACTATTAATTCTCTTTGAACTTACTACGCATCGAGTAAAATATCTATAGTAAATTAATCAAACCAAAAATCAATAAAACTATTTAATTTTAATATGTATAAATAACTTTTACCCTACAAGAGCAAGCAAGCTGTGCACCAAAAAGCCACAGAAGTAATGAAAATAATTTGGAAAATAATCCACATAAGTACCTATATGTATTCAAAAGCGAAAACACTAATCGAAGAAATATGAATGTTAGTATTTATTAATACAAATTCTCATCTTGTATCTACATACACACACATACACATATGCATATATTGTAACTCATGTTGAGCACACGAAACAAAAACAAAAAAAAAAGAAGAAATAATTAATAAAACTGGTGTGTGAATTGTAATTACTTAGTGTTTAATTGACATGTCTTCGATGCAGCAAGCATTGAAGTGTGAATAACTGTTTTTCATAAATGTATTTGTTAAAAAAAAAACGAAAAAGTAAAGAGCACAGTTAGGTTGATGGATTACATGAATGTGTGTAAATAATTGATATGCGGCAGTTAAGCATTAGATAATTACAGTTCATCAACGCCGACACATTAGCAAACACACACATACACACTCACACCAACATGCATTTGTACATATTAATATTGCAACAAAAAGCATTTGTAAGTGCATTTAAGTGCGTTTCAGTATTAAAATTAACACGACAAATAATGGAAAATTTCCTTACACAAAGCAGATGCTAGCACTAAGCTAAAAGCAGTAGCATAAAATAAATTTAAAAAAAAATTAAATTTTCAATATTAGCTTTATATCTACAAGCTGCTATGTTGAAAACGGTCTTTTTGCATGCCAAACTTTAGCTGTCACTATGACGAAGCTTCTTACCGATTCTTCATTAGCATTTCGCGTCGATTTGCCTATAAAAGCTTATCACAACCAATAGCGATCGCAATTACCGTTAGAAGTTAACACTCATAGGTAAAAAACAACAGTATAGCGTTATAAAAAAACAACAAAAACAATTTGTTTGCTACCTTACATTGCCTATCATTAACTTTATAGGCTTCTTTGCCATTAAATTGGCTAGCGTGACTAGTAAATACATTTTCATTATCACACCTCTTGGTGTATTTGCATAAGCTCACTTATATATATAATAAATAAATATTTGCATGCAAACAGCAATGTTTAAGGGCAATAACCGGCATACGGTTTGGATTATTGAATTTTCTAAACAAGCGGTTACTCCTATATATAACAGTTGAAACTCTGATTCTGTTAGAAACTCAAATTTTAATGAGCGGAAATGAAACATTAACGGTTTTTCGTAATTAAATTTTCGTTATTTATAATGAATATTGGTACGTAATCCAATATCTGATACCTTTTTAAACATATTTCACCGCATTGAAACTCATTTTTTCAATTTTAACAACCGTTGAACGCACTTGAATGCATTTACTTTGCGAAATTGCAAATTACTCACACTTGAACTTTCCAATTCATTGAAATTTTAACACATAAAATATGCAAATGTGTATTAATAACACTTTTGAAATTTAATTATGTAATTTATAAATAATATTTACTAACAATAACCACTAAAAATTCTTCTTGTTTTTCTCTTCTACTTTTTTTTTTTTATTTACATGCTAACCCATCCGGTGCCATGGTAGACGAAAATAACCCATTTAGACGCGATTGATTGATTAACTCGTTGCTACCACACACACACCTTCACAACTACTACCAACTATTAATAACTAAAATACATAACAATTAGAGAAGTAAAAATAGTTGTCTTTCTCACTCGACAGATGACTAAGGGCATACAAAAAGTTTACTATTGAATGCGAGCCATATGAAAGAAAAAACAATAAAAATATTATAAAAACAATAATATAGTAATAATAAAACTGAATAATATTGAATAATACAAAATTAATAACATAACAAAAAGAATAACAAAAAATTAATAATATAATAACAATTTTAAATCATATTGTATGTTATAATCATGCCATGTAAAGCAATAACAACAAAATAAGTAAAAAAGGCGAATAAATCAGAGAAAAAATTATAATGGCAGTGACGTATGTGAACACTTCGCAAGTTGACGGTGCGAAGCGGTAATGCGCAACAAACTAACAGAAACCGAGAATGCCACTTTTATCACGCTTAACGCTCTGAACAACAAACCAAGTGGCTAGTAGTAAAAAGAAAAACAACAACAACAACTACAACAATAATTTATATCAAATAACAGCTACAACAACTAATCTTATAGGAAACGCTCTGACATAATAAACTACTATACGAGTATTGCTAACAACATCAGCGTTATCACCCCACCACCACCACATATCGCACTATCACCTTCCTACTTATCATCTTTGTGACATTGTATGCATGCCATGTGCATAAGTATAAGTACAAACAATACCCTATATATATATCAACACACATATATATATATAAATATATATATATATATATATATATTTACCAATGCTGTATGCAACGATGGCTACTATAGTGTATAGTGTATACCTCACCTTCGTTTAGCTAACAACTGTGTATATACACCGACGCCACTGTACATCCCCGCCTACGATTACATTCGTCTGCCACATAACGGCATAATACACAACAGTATTGGTAGAAAGCATTCGAATGCTTCGTCGTCCGTATCCACCACATCGGCATCCTCGTCCTTTATGCCGGTGGGATGAATTGTGTTAATATGTGTACGAGCGTGTGTCAGCCGATGTGTCGAGCAGCAGCAAACAATCAGTCAACTGAACAAGCAGTCAATTAAGCCACCTAATATCATGTGTCTGCTTGCTTTCACCACACCACACCGCCAGCGATGCATACCTTGAGGCACTTAATTGGGAGCGTGTATACTAAGTGGCATAACTGAATTTGCGATGTAACCAATAGGTATGTACAAATGTGTAATTTGACTTTATTATTATTTAACGTTTATAAGTTTTTTTCTTTTCCTCCTTTTCTCCAGTGTACTCACCACGGTTTTGCAATAAAATATACTCTACTTTCACCCGATTCTTGCTAGATGCTGGCTTGATCTTTAGCGGCGATTGACTGGTAGTTCTGAAATTGTCTCGTCGCGTTTTCTTTCCAACTCAGCAAATGCGAAATATTTGTTGTTTTGCATAACAGTTAATCAATTCTAACTAGAACTAACATGAATCAATCAAACCTAGACATTTTTTAGTTCTTAACGCCTTATCATAATGCGTAGCTCGTTTAATGTTTAAATTACCAGCGCACAAACGAACACACGCATACATATATATATTGAAGAGTAGATATTCAAAAAGTGCCACACTGTATGCGATGAACGGTAAATGCGAATTATTGTAAGCCATAATTTTCTATCAACTCTAAGCTGCGAACAAAAATCATGTACTTCTCAAATCAAGTCTCATGCGAATCTCAAAAACTATGTGGAAATTTTGTTAAAAAAAATAATTTATCAGTTTTTTTTTATATTATACTTTTCTTAAAAACAATATTATTTGTAAGTAATATAGCTTTTGTGGCAAAGCATTATTTAAGTATAATAAATATTATTTAATATAAATAATAATAACCACCAGCTACAAATGCAACAAAAACAAAACAAAAAGTAAAAGAAAGAAAGCAAGCGTTATGCATATTATAGTCATTTTAGCCAATCATGTTATAACACAGTTTATATAAAACATTTTTTAAGCAGAAAAATTCTATAAAAGGGGTTTAAAAGCAATTATATATTACAAACTAGCTTAACAGGAAATAAATTTTTTATTATAAATAAAAACTATGGACAACTATAACAAGAAAAAATCGATCATATGAAACAAGAAAAAAGCCATATTTAGTCTGTATAAGAATATAAATTAATTGTAGGCATAATTTATTTACAAATAGCAGTTAAATGTTTTTTTGCAAAATATAATTAATGATGTTATGGTTAATCATCACCTATCAATCACAATACGCACATTTAAAGCAAAAAAATAAACGCATCTACATTAATTACATTTAACATTAATTAGGAATAATAATAAAAATAATAAAAAAGTTGCAGTTAAACTTACATTGAGTGAAATTATGTATTTGGTTTTTAACAACACAGAAAAACAAAAAAGTTAATAATAAGAAATAACAAAACGTAAAAAAAAATAAATCTGCACAATTCAAGCTGATTGCTTGGCCAGCTGGAGTTTTTGCTCCAACTTTAATTACAAAAATATTTAAGAAACGAGTCTATTAAAAAAATTTTATAAAATAATGCAAATTCTAAATTGTTGTTTGTGAAAAAAAGCAACGTGTTTTTATTAGTAAAAATTACAACAAACTTAATAAACATGCTAAGCATAACTTTGGTTAATACACAGTTTACTTCTAGCTTCTGCTAAGCATGCCTTTGGCATGGCGTAAAATACATGGCATATTTCTTAATTTGTGGAAAAAAGTTGCTTTGAAAAGGCACTAGAATTCTGCGCAGTAATTATTTTAATAACATAACGTCACGATTTTTCACGATAATTATTGAATTAATCTCTAAAATAATCTAAATATTCTAAAATTTTCACCATATTAGCCAAACAATTTTAATGCAACTTTTAGGCGTATATACTATTTATTCAAAATTTGAAGTAAAATAGCGACAATAATTACATTCATATTTTAACTACTTTCACTGTGAATATTTTCGGAAACAACTTCAAAATTTACAGCAACGATAAATATAAACTAATTTTATGATTCTAATATAAATAATTACCGTTTCCAAATAGAGTTTTGAGTTCAAATAACGATTTTTTAAAAATAAAATTTCATATTTAATTGGTTTTTACTAGTACAACCCCAAATTTTTAAGTTCAAACATCGATTTCTTCAAAAAAAAAAACATATATACATTTGTTTTTTGTTTTTTTACTACATCAGAAAGTAGCTGTAACAGAAATGACTTTAAATTTGCACGTAAGGGCGTACACTTGCGTTGAAAACTTTGAAGTAATTTAAATTAACATGAGCTCACTACTACTTTAGTATAAATCGTCAACGTTACGAAAACTTCAATTACTTTGAAGCAGATCCTTGCGAAATTGCTATTATTTTATGTGATGTAACCACAAGCGCGTGCAACAAAAGCATGCCAGACTGCACACTTCTAAATTCCCACAAGCAGCCGACATGCAACTGCACAAAATACAGTAAATTAACGGAATTTTTCACGCAGCAACCATTGCATGTGTAATTGCAAACTTATTAATTAGCGAGTAAATGAAAATCGATTGTGCCTTTGAATACATTATGCAACTTATGTAAGTAAGTATATGTTGAGAAACACACCTACTTAAATACACCTACACACACATACGTATCGAGTACGTAATATGTGTGAGAGCAGCGCAACACCCACTATTGATGTCATAATTAAAAGAGAATTGCGTATTGTATACATACAAATGTTTCAAACGGTAACTCATTTGCAGTTAAACCGTTAAATTACTTGACGAATTTTTTCGTGGGCCAACATCATGACTCCTTTACTAAATTATTGTGAAGTAAACCATTTTATTGTGCAACAACTAATGCAGTTAATAATAACAGTAATAAAAGTAATAATATGTAATATATAATAGCTAAATCGTATGCATAAATCTATTGTACGAGTAATTGGCTACCACACACACATTTGTTAGTTTAAAGCGTTTGCAATTAGTAGTAATTTAATGAAAATTATAACTGTAGAGAAATGTCGAATGTTGCGCTAATGATAATACTATTAATTAATTAAATATACTCAAGAAAGTGCAATTAAACTATAATATTAATAATATTATAATGCAATAAGCGCAAACAAAATTACTTAAAAATAATAAAAATTCTGCAAAAATAAAAAACAAAAAAAAATAAAAAAAAATATTTTGCATTAAAACTAAAAGTTTACATTTACAATCGGTTACTTTTTGTGAAGTGTAAATATTTTATAGGTTAAGTTATGAAAATGGTGTGTAGACATTTTGAAATAATAACCCCTACCCTACCATTTTAGTGTTAAGCCATTGCGTTTTCATTTAAAAATAAATATTTTTTTTTTTGTAATATAACATATAAATACATATGTACGTTTACGTCCACATTTAAATGAAAACTATCGAGCACTATTTGTTGCAACGCAGTGAACAAATAAAGTTTAAGAATTTGAAGCAATTTAGTTTTATTGTTGTAACTGCTAACTGTTAGCCCACTAAGTGAAATACTTGAATGTTGTGCATTGTTTCAAGCATTGTTCTTATTTATGGTAATAACTATTTTCATTGTGTAAAGCCAATTCAATCAATTTCATATACATACATACTTACATATATACAAGCATACATATATTAATAAATGTTTAGAAAAACTTTGAAAATACCAAAAAAAAAAAAAAATAAATGCAGTATATTGTTTTTATTTTTGTACAAATAGTAAATGTGGTTTAGGGGGTTATAGCCACTTGGAATTCAGAACATCTCCAGAAGGACCTCCGCAAAAACGTGTCTGGCGGTTGAGCAAGATTATTCTGTATAAAATTATCTTAAATCTAAAAATCAAATAAATAAAATTTATTACTATAGATGAATGCAGGTAATGATCGAAGTACTAGTAAAAACTTTTTCAGAACATGGCGGTTCGTAAAAAAATCGTTTTTTTAATAAAAAATTTACACTTCAGAGTGCAAGCCATGAAAAGTCGAAATTATTATCAAAAATCTCTGACACTATTTGCTTGAACACAAATGCAAAACATGCAAAAAGCAAACCATTTTTTGATATTCACCAGTGGATATAGCCACTTAAGGGCATATTGATGCCTTTTCTTCATTTTGGTAGCAATCGATTGCATGTTAGATTAGTAACGTCTCGTAATTTGAAGGAAATGCTCAAAATTTTTCTGCTATTCGAAGATTTCTTAAGAGGCTTTCATTTAAGACAATATTGCAATATCGAATTTGTATAACACATTTTTAATTTTTTAAACTTGAGTTTGATACTTGTATTTCGGTTATTTGTCTTGTTTTTATTGTATTATTTTTTTAATACATTTTTTTTACTTAGAAGTTTTGCAAATTAAGTGTTGCCACTTTACATTTTTTTTAATTAGCCAAGTATTGCACTGAGCAGTAAATAGTTTTTTAAGCTGATTTAGTATTTTCTATGGTATTACTATTTATATATAATTTCGTTTCACTTCAGGAATATTTTGAAGTTTCTGCTGCTATATACGACATTTCGTTAATGCACGGTGAAAATAATGAACAAGATACATGATATAGTTGCTACTAGTATTATTTTTAAGTTAACAGTTCCAGTAACATTGCATGCCCACATTTTTTTATATCGTAATTTTTTACGATATTATGATAAAAGTAAAGCTTTTCATATTTCATATTGTGTTAAACTTCGAAAAATAACACGTAACATGCTTATCCTAACAAAGTCAGGGTCATATTTGTTGCAGACATGTCTGTCTTAAAAATTTTATCGTGTGTAAACGCACACATATATTGTATGTACATATGTACATCATGTTCAAAGGAGTAGATCTTGCAACGAGCAGACTCGGAAGATTTCCGATGAGCGATTTCTTGGTCATTTAACGAAATTCCTCTGCTTCTTATTGACATTTTGTATTCGATGTGGTGCTACTAATTGGTAATCTTGTTAGTTTTGGCCAACATTGAAGGCTTGATTGTGGTTTTCCGCTCAAGATTACAATCCACGATGAACCGAGTGGCACATACATTTAATAATGCATATAAATTTTTGCTTTCACACAAGCCCTCAAACGATCAATAGCAGTAGGAACAGTTTCTATTGGTAATGTTGACGCTACTCGAACCAAATATTTTTTGAAACTCTCAAAATTTCTGTAGTGTATTCGACAGGCTATGTTGTCCAACTCTGACAACCAATCATCTGCAGACATTAAATCAGGAATATTGCTTTTAAGTCACTATTGTGTGGTTCTTGCCTTGTGTTCTGGAGCAAAAAATTACTGGAAGGTCCAATGCTTCATCGCGCCTTCTAAAACCTCCTGCTGGTACACTTTTGCCCCAGTTTGAACCGCTTTTTCACAGAAGTAGAGGTCTGTTTACAGGAGTTTCCCCATAAACCTTTACATCAGCTGTATGGTGAACACGTTGAACTCTTGTTTGCGTCTTTGGAAGTTTTTGCGAAGATTATTTTTGTTTTGCTTATTAACAGTGCAATATTTTTTCATCTGTAAAAAGGATGCTTTCATGGCCGTTGACCGCGTGCTACTTAAGAAGCCGCTTGCATCTGTGGAGCCGAATTTACTTCAAGCGCGTTGTCAAAAGATGATCATCTCGAATAAGTCTTGAACTTGATCTGAACAACATCTCTTTTTGTCATCAACTGTAGATGTTTGGGAAAAACAATCAATTCGGTAAACAAACATTCTCGACATATTAAGACTTTTGAGAAGCTGTTCAATTTAACTTGAACTTTTTTCACACTTACCATGTGTAAAGCAATTACTGCAACTCGATTTTCTTTAGCTTCCCATTCCATTGTTAATAATCGAAAAAAAAACACTGAACTGATTATTATATATGAGTAAATACTGCATATAAATTATACAAGGTATAATTCAAAAATTCCAGGACTTTTTAAACAGCGCGGGTTCTAGTGGCGCCATCTGTCTGAAATTGTTATCCCTCAATTGGGTATTCTTCAGCGTTGTCGTATAAAATTTATATAACAGGTGACTTGTATTACAGCTGAGATATCGCGCTACATGTGACATTACATTTGTAGTGTCTGTCGGAAAATGAGCATCGAACAAAGAGCCAACATTAAGTTTTGTTTTAAACTTTTGTTTAAACTTTTACCAAAACTCATCAAATGATGAAACAAGTTTATGGCGATGATTGTCTATCCCGTAGCCGTATTCACGAGTGGTTTAAACGTTTTTAAGAGGGACGGGAAGACGACGAACGTTCGGGCCGGCCAAAAGATGTTGTGAACGAAAAAAACACGGAAATTGTGCGTGAATTCATTAAAAAAGAGCCGAAATCATCGCTTAAATATATGGAATCGGAATTATCATGTGAAACAACACGAAAAAGGTCTCAGAATTTAACATTCAAGAGACATCATTTTTTGATCAAAAATCGCATTAATATCATCAATCATTCACCCTATTCGCCCGATATGGCACCCTGAAATTTTTATTTGTTCGGAAAACTACATTTGGTCATGAAAGGAAACCGCTATGCTGACGTTGATGCCATCCAAAAGGCGACGACCACCATCCTCAACGCTATACCGACAAATGACCTAAAAAAGTCATTCGATAACCTTCTTGAACGTGCAAAACGTTGTATTCAGGCGGAATGAGACTATTTTGAAGGCAAACAAAAAATTTTTCAAAAAAAAAAAAACTAATAATATTCGTTTTTTAATAAAAGTCCTGAAATTTTTGAATTGCACCTTGTATTAATATTCTTTACAGGAGCATTTTTTATAGCATAGAAATGCATAAAAAGATCTTTATTCGGGTTTCGATCGGTCCGTTTGGATAACAGCTATATGTCATGTCTTGGATAATAATCTTTGCCAAATTTCTTGAAGATTCCTCGTCAAATTAAAAATGTTCCATTTCCGA